ATTATAATACTATGTCTGACGAAAAACAGATTTTATTCAATAAGAAAAAACGCAATATCATTCTACCTCGAGAAAAGAAGTTATTGGTTGGTACAAATAACAAGCTGACGCCAGGTGAAGAACCAAATTCACTACATGACGCAACTAAGAATAATACGCATGACGAAAAAGAAAATATTTTCAATAATGAAAAACATAATTCGATATTAGCTGGAGAAGAAAAGTTGGCGAATGGTAAAAATAAAACAATTATAATCAGTCGATATCAAAATTTATTCCATGATACAAATAACAATTTAATCTCAAGTAAAGAACAAAATTTATTGAACGAGACAAATGATAAAAGTATATATGACGAACAACAAAGTTTATTCAATAATACGGAAAACGATTCAACGGCAGCTGGTAAAGAAAAATCATCGAATCATACAAATAAAATGACTATAATCAGTCAACAACAAATTACATTCAATGATATAAAAAACAATTTATTGTCTGGTGAAGAACGAAATTCATTGAATGATACAAATGATAGTAGTGTGTATGGCCAACAAAAAAATTTATCTAATAATACAGAAAACAAATCAATATCAGCTAGAGAAGAAAGATTATTGAAGGATACATATAATAGAAATATATCCAGTCAACAACGAAATCCATCAACTGGTGCAAATGACAATTTTATGTTCGATCGACAGGAAAATATATTGAATGATAGAATGAAACGTTCTACTGGTGGCGGAAAAGAATCTCACACAGCACTTCGGGATAATTCTCATCATTTGAAGCCCGTTGTTGGATTGTCTTATGCTTCTTTCAACGTTATAGATGCCGGTAAAGGAGACTGCTTCATTATCTTCATAAATGCTTGCGTCATTATTTATGATTTCGGTTACAAATCATCTTTTCCTAACGTTGAGGAATGTATCGACAATGCCTTGAAAAAACGTGTTTTGGAAAATGTTTACCTTATTGTGTCGCATAATGATACGGACCATATTAATGGACTGCCGGCAGTAGTTAATTTTTTAAAAGTCCCGGGTTCATGTACACGATTGTTCATAGTTTCTCCACTTGCTAAAAATGAGTTGCCCTGGGAAAATATTACAGTGATCGGTGATGAGAAAAACTTCGGTAATGTTCCTCCGCGTACTATGTCGTAGATTTTTGTTTGCAGCATGTTCTCCGCTCATTGTTATTTTTTACCTGTCGAAGCGTTTCATCAATGCAGATTGATTCCTGTGCAGATCTCCACTTTCTTTTTGACTTGTTATAATATTTGAACTGATTTTTAATGATCCACTGGAAATCCAGATCGATTACGACGCAAGATTGCAAGTTGTCTATCCAAAAGAACGAAATAAGCGCGACAATAATCGGAATTCATTGGTTGCTGCCATCTTCGTCAATCAAAAAACAGTTTTGCTAACTGAGGACCAATGCTCTGAAGGAATCGATTATGCCATGAATGTATTAGAAATAAAACACTTAACAATATTTCAGTTCCCACACAATGGTTCATTGAACAACATCCACGAGTCTTGGAAACTAGTTGAAAGTAAATTTCACATAATTTCAGGAACACCTTTGCATGATAAGAATAGCAGCAAAAACAAGGAATACAATCAGACATGTCAAGAATACATAGCAGAAAAACTACTGAAGAGAAATCCAAAAAATCCTATTGCATTGGTTCTTACGGTACCAAGAATCAATCAGAATTTACAACATCGTTTAGAAAATGATCAAGTTACAATCATCACGATGAATAATGCTGCATATCGAGAAATTATGCTGAGCACAAATCCTATTACCGAAAGAATGCAATCTAATCACACAAATAAGCGCTCCTAAGCTTTTCTTAGCAAAAGAATAACTAATATACGGCTTTAACATACAATCAATAATTATCAATTCCTGGTTTTTAACATGAAGAACAATGTTAAACAAGTATCATCGTATATAGGAAGTAAACTGTCTTACATTATATTAGCATTAACTTATATTTTTCAATCAATTTTTTACATTTGTTACAAAGTAGATTTCTCTATTCTATTAACATCAACTTGGTTTTTTCAAACATCTCATACATTAATTACAAATCCAAATCCTATATTACATTGGTGTTAATTCTCTGCTTCAATGATCTTATACATCAGTTGCAATCTATAACTCTACACAGTATTAGCATTACTTTATTTGTTCCAATCATTTTATGTATTAGATACAAAATTAAACCCATTCTCTATAGATGCATTTCTTTATTTGTTTCCATGGATTCAAATGTTAGTTGCAAAATTATAGCCTTGGATAACCTTTGTATCAATATTGTCCGACAAAATCCAACCCTTTACTTCCACGCAGTGTCGGGTGGGCAACGTCATATCGACGGCTAAAAAGGGCTCTGGTAAAATGCTAGAGGACTTGCATGAAGTCTTTATTTGTTTGCAGTCGAATGATGATGAATCAGATGATTACAGTATATGAATGTGGTAAATATACTCTTAAACTTTTCCATCATCAAGTTGGAATTTTGAAACATGTAAATTGGGATTAAATATTAGAGGAGAGACAGACTCATGTAAATTTAGTCATAATCTTAGACTTATTTTTAAAGATTTGGATTAGCTAGACGTCTATGCTGATAATGTTTAACTAATTTAGAAAAAATCGTTTTTAATCATTTTTTTTATTTTAGATAATAAGAACAAGTAGTCCGAGTACATCCGCAAGTATTATTGGTGGTGGACTAACTAGTGTGACTTTAGCATTATAACAAGAAAATGAAAAATTAAATGCAATAAAATTAACAGCAGATGAAACATAAGCCCTTCTCTTAAACTGAAAGTTAATGATAATAATTCTTTAATGAAAAAACAAATTCAGACTTTCTCTGTCGACTAATTCGATTAGTCATGAGATTTATGCATGAATAAACAAGGTACAGCGTCAATTTTTGAGTGAAGTTGAGAGTGAGTTCATTCTGCGGGTGTGGGTGGGTATGTATGTGGCTGTGAGGGGGATGCATGAGTGGAGCTTTTAGGGTGTGGGTCTTATTCTTCTGATCACAAATCCACACCTTTTCTTCTGTCTAGAATGATGATGTACGTAGTGTATTGACAATTGCATTAAATCGAGTACTACGATTTGCTAAATATTGTAAAACTTTTCCAAATTTTGCACTGAAAACGCGCTAATTCATGAGATGAAAAGAAAAATTAACAAACAAAAAAGAACAATGGACAAACAATCAGCAAAAATCAACAAAAATAAAAATTTTAAATGAAAAAATAGATGCAATGAAAAATCCAAAGTATCGTTGTGTAAGAGTTTTATCACAATCTGATGAACAACAAGAAAATCACTAATCACAATAAACAAAGTTATATTAATGTACACGAGCCACAAAAAAAATCGTTATTTTTCTTTGTACGTATTTAATTTTAAAATTCGTTTTTAAAGCTTTCATTGCAATCAGAGACCGTCACAGGGCACTTTTTTTACGTCCTGCCCTGCCCTGAAAATGAGTTATAAATGTTTTTTTCGCTCTGTCCTGCCCTTATGGCAAGGCAGAGCATGACAGAACTACTAAATTGAGTTTTCTTATTACAAGATCTAAAAAATTGAAATAAATAATGTGGTCTCTTTCAAATTTAGTACTAAAATTTTATTCATGTGGGTTCAAAAAAATGTTAAAATCAAATCCAGTTTACAATCAAAAAAAAATTGCGTACTAGAGAACAATACTCGTGTTAAAACCTAAAAACAAATCTAATTTTAACGAATTTTTCATGTTTAAAACTTGATTGAAGTGTTTCTATTCTAATTAGATTATTCAATTTTTAATCGTCTTTAATCACGATGCATGTAAAACGCATTTTTCATTTGAAAACTTCAATTTCTTTGTGAACTCCTCATGTCCCTATACTGATAAGTGTAACACTAGACTAACCTTTGATACATGCCATACTTCGAAGTGCGATAGTGATTAGTACGAACTCGTGTAAATCAAAATACCGACAAATTAAACTTCTACCCTTTTTTTTGACCTACTTGAGGATGTTACTTTATTTTTACTTTTCTTTATAATAAAGGATAAATATAAATAAAATCTTTATCTTTCTAAAACAAAAATAAAGAAATTCTATATATTTGAAAAATAAATGTAAATAAAACAAAATAAATCTTTGTTATTCAAGAACTTAAGATCGGTAAAATCTTCATATTTTTAAAATAAAGATAGAATAAACAATAAAGAAACTTTTTCTTCTATGGGACCATAAGCTTTAGTGTCCACTAAGTAGTTCACAAAAAGTTATGGCATCATAGATGGAAATTAAATGTACAGAAAACTCTGTTGCATATATTTTTTATATATCAGCTTGATTCTTAATAATATCATTTGTCGAAGTGATGTTGGTGATAAGAAAAAATATTTATTAACATGTCCTGCTGCTATATTAAGTATTTGTCTATTTACGTATTAAAAAAATAAACATTTCTTTATTCTTTATTTTTCAAAGTAAACAATTCATGGATCCTTATTTTATATAACAGTTTTATTAAACTTTATTTTTTAACAATAAAGATTGAGACTGTGGGTGTGATCTATGCTATCCAACAACCACAGCCACCCGAGCTCCCCCACACCCAAACCTTAGTGCCGAGCATAAGTAATAATTGTTATGACTTGTAAAGGAGACAAGAAAAATATTAGTACAGAGCTGAATTTGCAGTTTATTCCTAAGTCGAGTTGAAGCCGAAGCTGCTCACTTCTGCTTCACTTGATAGCGAGATTATTCAATTTTCTTTTGATAACAATCTGACATTAAGAAAATGAGGGCTTCATTTAAAAAGTTTTTCTGTTCATTTAATTAAACGTATAATCAGATATCGTTAAAAGTCCTTCCGTTCGTTATAGAACAGATATAATTTTTCCGGAGATCATATTTTTAATCCATGGATTAATACGCAATTTTGTATACAAAACAACAAACATATTAAATATCAAGTTCAAAACTGTCCATAAAAGTAACAATCTGTTCAAATAATGCTGCTAATCGATACTGATTATCATGAAAATCATTTGTTATTGCTATTCGTAAACTTGTCTTATATCGATTAATAAATTCATTATATAATTTAAATAAAGCATATGTTCTATTAAAGTCATTCGTTCGTCTATTTGATGAGTTCTAAAAAATAAAATTTCGATATCAATAAAACAAAAAATATTGTTTCCTTTTTTAATTTTACTTGATTTTCTTGTTCTTTAATCAATATCACATGTTGATCAAGATCATGAATAGATACAGTAGGAAGAGAAGAAACAGCATCGTAATATCTAAAAAGTATATCAATTAAAAAATTATTCTTTAGATTAAAATTTGTTTTTCAACTAACTTTTCAACAAGTTTTTTATATTTTTGTACATCACGATAAAATAAAAGTTTTGATGATGGTGAATCTTTTGTTAATTGATGAATACCAGCAGCACAACTATCCATAAACATTTGAGCAATAACTGATAAAGATGCATCAATAACACTTGTTTTTTCAACATCAAATATAAAATCAGGATTTTTAATAATATTAACAAAAAATCTTAATGGTAAACTAATAAAATATTGAACAAAAAAAAAAAAATAGAAAAGAATTTTTTCTTTCTTATTTTTTAATTTTCAAACCTGTTACTCTTCCAAGTATGAATAATATTTGAATCAAATATTTGATAATATTCAGCTTGTTCATCAAGAAAATCAAATAAATATTTAATTGGTAATGGTAAATCAACAAGACAAAAAATTGTATCAAAAAAATTATCAATATATTGTTGTAATGAACCTTTTGTTGCTAATAAACGTGTCAGATAAACTTCTGAAACAAGTTTATTTGTCATTAATGTTCGATCATCATCTTCACGATCAGTTGATTTAACCTAAACGAATTGAAATTTTATTTATACAAAAGTAAAAAAAAAAATAAAATAACAAATATGAATTACTAAATGATAAAAACGTGTATTTTGTTCTGATCGAGAATTAGAAAATGATTGTTCTAATTGATTTGTATTTGTTAATCGATGATCTTTTCGTAAATTTATTAAATCTATTGTTGAATTCAATAATATTTGATTTTCTATTTTTACATAAAATTTTTTATTTTAAATATATGCAAAATATTCCTAAAATTATGATCACTTCATAAATACAGATAACTTCAATATTGATCAAACTTAATCAAAAATATCTTCTCTATTTCAAGTACGAGACTAGTAAGTTTTGATTCGTAAAAAGCAAGTATGTATTAAGTGATCATGATTTTTGAGATATTCTGTATATATTTATATATAAATTTTATTACCATGTCCTTGAAGTAATTGCCATTTATGATCATCATCAGTTTTTTGTGTATAACATATATTCTTAGTTGTATAACAGCTTGTTAATCCACCAGAATTTGTTTGAGAACTTATTAATGATGAAAATGATGATGTATTTGTACGATTCATACCAGGTTTTAAATTAAGAAATAATCGAGCACCATCATGAACCTATAATATCGTTTTATTTATTTTATTGTTGTTTTTATTAATATGATTATTATACTTTATAAGTTGCTAATGTTTGTACTTGTACAAAACCATTTGTATCAGGATTATCAACTTTTTCATCATCACGAAGTAATTTCATATGTGAACCAATTCTCCATTCTATAGAAAAGTATGCCTTTAGAAATCGTTAAATTCTATGCAATTTTATTCTATAATATTATTAACATAAAATGTAAAAAAGAGAAAATCAAAATCTTGAAAAGATGGTTAATATCTAGAAGTTTTTTGATAGCATCTTCTATTGATAATTTTCTGCAATGGAGAAAAAAAAAACTGAAGATTTAAATCAATACATACCCAAATCAAAATCTTCAATTGATGGACGTTTGGAAAAAGGAATATTTTTATAAAAATGATCGACTATTTTTTCTTTCACCTGGGTTATTGAATCACAACTAAGAACTTTTATTGGCACCGGTGTTGAAATAAGATGAGATTTATCATCTTCTACTTGAATCACATAAACAATCTGATAACAAGAAGAAAAAAAAGTAAAATCATAGTTGTTTTATTTTTCGTCATATATATTTTTTACCATTGATTGATAATCTATATGTTGTCGAAGAAGTTTATCTTCACTTAATGAATATCTTGATTCATTTGTAAAATAATCAATAGGACCTTTATGAATCTGTTGTTTAATTGATTGAAATAATATATACAAAGGAGAACCAATACGTTCCTTTTAATTATAGAAATATACAATAAAATTAAAAAAAATTATGATTTGATTTTAAATCTTGTTTTTTTTTACTTTAATATAACCAAATAGAAGAAAAGCAAACCAATTTGAAAGTATCTTTTCAGCTACAGATGCATTACTTCTTAATAATATTTTACTATTATTTCGATCTTGTTGTAATGATTTTTCAATTAATTCTTTTAATAATATTTTTAATATTCTAAATAAAATATTAATAATGAAATATGAAAACAACAAAAAACAAAATATTATTTTTCAAAACATACTCAGTCAAATATTCAATATTATCTTGAAGAAGAATACTGATGAGAGATGCAAATTGCATACGATCTTGTAAACGAAAATTAATTTTATCTGCTTCTAATGTACGAATCATAAGAAGAAGAAAATGATGATTATATAATAATTGAGATAAATGTTGAAGACCTTGTCGAACATTATTTCGTCTATTAGCTTCTAACTACAAAAAAAATACATATGAATATAGTTGATTTTAAAATACATTATGAAATATATTATTTAATTAAATACATATTTTAGTTAATTTCTAAATTTATTCTTACCGGTATTTCAATATTATGAAGCATCATATATTTTTCTTCATCAGTAGCATTTGGAAATAAAATTTTCATACAATATATACGATAATCATGATATGGTACACCGGAATGTGATAAATCATTTGTAATTTCTCCTATATCTGTTTGAAGTTCAGCAAATGCTATAATAATACATAGAAATATTATTTTTTATTTTTTGTATTAAAAAAAAGGGTAGAAAATAACCTTCTTTGCATTCCCGAGCAACACGCATTTCAAGTGTATCAATTTGATTTTGTAAACGATTAAGTTGTCGAGTACGTTTTGTATTTATACGACGAAAAATAATTGATACAATTATAATAAACATTGTTAAAAGAAATCCACAAATACTTGCAATTATATAATATAATACTAATGATCGTTTTTCAATATTTGATGTATATATTAATGTACCTAGTATATAAACTCGACGACCAAGTGTAACCTATTAAATTTCAATATATTTATTCATGAAATTTTATTTATTTATTTTTGTTTTTGTCAATACTTACACGAACAATAGCTTGTTCATTATATTTTGTATTAATATCAAGTAAAATTCGTTTTTTTCTAATTAATTTTTCAATAGTACGATTTGTTGGTTGACAAACAATTTGTTGATCTGATATTGATGTTATATTACATGGATATGAACCAATAGTTATAATATAATCATTTATTGTTGCAACATCAAGTAAATTTAAACCTTCTATTGTTAAATAATCATAACGATATTGTATACGTTTTCCATCATTATTAAATGGATATATAATTGGATCAGGACAAAGTAAAAATGTTTCATAATATGTTGATGTATTACGAACATATTCAACATCATCCATAAAAAAACCAAATTTAAATTCAAAACAATGATTTTTATCATGTGATCGAGCATGTAAAATATGAGTTATTGGTGATGATGATATTATTATTGTTGTTGAAGTAATAGTTGTCGTAATAAAAGATGATGTTGTACTTTTAAGCATTATTTCATTTTCTATCCATTTTAATGATGGACCATAGCAAAGCATACTTTCTGGAGTTTTAACTGAACAATTCTAAAATTTGTTGTTTTTATTTTATTTAAAAATCAAAGTCAAGAGAGAAAGAGAAAGATGAATAATGAACAAACCTCAACAAGTACTTGACTATTATTATATTCAATAAAGAATTGTGGTGTTTGAATTGAATTAAAATTAGTACCATAAACAAGAAATGGTAAACCACCACTTTGAATACCCAAATATCGACTTAAATTATGAACACGTGGATCCTATTATTTCAAAAGAAATAATCAATAAAAATTTTCACAATACAATTAGAACTCAATAAAGAAAAATTGTAAGAGTATATCATATCATAAATCAAAATTTTAGATGCAGAGTTAGTGTTTCTTTGAAATTATCCGAACTGTCAGGGATAGAGAGATATGTAACATAGGCGAACCTTTTTTTCATGCACTTGACCTGTGCAGACCTCAAGTTTTGTCCATAGCGCATGACTTTCTTGCTCAAGACAAACGCTTGAGTGTTGCATGAAAATACACCTACGAATTTTTATTAAAAGTTGAGTTATTTTGAACGTAAAATTGCAAAAAAAATATAAAAAATTCTTGAATAACAGAAACGCTTGCATAAGAATTCAAGCGCATGTGCAAGAATATCAAGCGATAGAACAAGAAGTTCAAGAGCTTGGGCTCGCCGAAAGGTCTCAAGTAGACTTCTACAAAATGGTCACGGTCTCTCGTGATCGTGACTAGTCTCGAAAAAACTCCGTGACCATGAACGTGACCGTGAGGTGATGTGACTGAAAAATCATGGTCACGCAGAAGTCTAGTCTCAAGTCTTGCCTCAAGATTTGTCCATACCGCATGACTTTCTTGATCAAGATTCTCAAGTATCTCCTGCATAGACAAAAAGAAGTTCGTCTAGGGTAGGACCAAGTTTTTGTTTTTTACTTATGTCATAAACGGATAGCACGTTGTTATACTCTTTAATTTCCATGAATACTTACTTCTGTATATGAATAAGTAATATTTGAATAAGTTTCAGTAAAATTATCAATTAAAATTGTTATTGTACCAATCCATAATGCTTGTCGTTTAACAAATCTTTGCTGTCGATTATTATTATGTTCATTTATAATTGTTAATTTAGATGTTCGACATTGAATAATTTCTTCTTCATTTTCATTCGGTAATTCTAATTGAGATATCCATGGAATCATTAATGAATTATTTTCATCATCTGATATGGTACTACTAGTAGACATTTCTTCATTTTCAATAATCAAACATGGTTGATGACCAACAAATATATTTATTTTACTTCCTATTGTTAAATGTTTTCCTTTTATTGAAAGTAAAGTACCACCAGATCGAGGTCCTAAATTTGGATAAATATCATTAATAATTGGTTTCTACAAAAAAAAATAAAATAAACGAATTCAAAATAAAAATTTATTTTCATATAAAATTTTAATAAAACAAAAATCTATACTAACCACAATATGAAAAATAGGTCGATCTTTACTAACAACTGAATGAACAGTAACTTTAATTGTATACACTCCAATTGGTAAAGATGGTAATTGACATATAAATGATTGAGCAACAATATAGGATTCAATTTGAATATGACATTGATATTCCGTTCGATTAGAATTTATAAGAACAACCGATATATCATGCGGTTGTTTACCTAAACTTGAACCATAGATTTGTATTGGTGTACGACCATATTGTGGACCTATGATAGGATAGATTTGTCTAAGACGTGGATCAAGACATACACCCATTGATGAACTTATTATATGATTTGGTTTACATATTGTTGAATTTATTTCATGATGACATGATTTATCTGTTTCACACCATATACAATGATAATTATCATGAAGTAATATACATGAACCACAAGAATCAGCTAGATATTTACATTTATATATGTTGACTATATAAAAATAAATTTCCAAAAAAATTATTTAATAGTAATATATTACCTGTAAAATTTGTTAGAGCTTCTAATTTTTTATATGTACATTCATTTTCACATTCTTTCCATTCAATTTCAAATGATAAATTTTGTTGACCAACATCATTTTCATAAGAAATCTAAACAAAAAAAAAAAATATCGTTTTCAAAACTTATTTAAATAATTTTATATTCAATTCTTACTTGAAATAAATCACAAATAAGAGAATCATTATTAATTTTTCCAATACTTGTAATTATACTTGAATTTATAAATGTTAATATACAACGAAAATATTTTTGAATATTATATTTTAATTCAATTATTTGAATAATAACTCGATTTTTTTCACCAAGAATAAATGAATCACCATCAGAAATAAATATTTCTTTTGTCGATACATTATAACGTGGACATTGATGAATTAAAGAATTATTTATTATGATTGTATTTTTCTCAGTAATTAAATCACTATCAAAACATGTTGCTGTTAATAATTGCCATGTACAATCAAATGAATTATTCATACATGATGTACATCTGAAATTAAATTTTTTTGCTAAAAATTTCTATGAATCAAAAAAAAAGAAGAACACCTACGTTAAATATGATGAACAATCATAGAATGTAGCATTTTTTTCTGTAAGAATAATATTATTATAAAATAGACGTATAATAATTGAATCTAAATCATCAAAAAAAAAAATAAAATCATTAGAAAGAAAAAAATTAATTATAATACCATGATTAATATTTATCAATGTTTCAGATGGTGGTGAATAACATATAATATAATTTTCATATTTAATTGCATTTGATATATAAATAGGTTTATCATTATTATTATTATTATTACTATCATCTGTGTCAGTTAAAAGTGAAGTAAAACCAAATGAACAAAAATATTTTGAAGTAGAATCATCAGGTACATTATCAACATGTAAATGTAACTAAAATATTCAAAAATATAATAAAAAAAAAAATGTTCTTTTTACTTTGCTAGATTTTGCTTTTGATATAAAAGGTGGTCTCATTTCGATAATACTTGGACAATTTTCATGTATTTGTAACCAACGAAAACGTCGTTTATCATTTGTTTCATTTCGACGTACAGTACAACTATAGAAGAAGAAGATTAAAATTTTATTATTGAATAAGAAAACTACTTACCGATTGAGTGTTGTACCCCAACCACAATATGGATTTTGTGATGAAAGACATGAAAAACATGTTTTATAACGATCACAATCATGAAGATCCACTTGAAAGAGCTATAAAAATAATTTTTCAAATGTAAATAAAACAAATAAATAAATTAAAAAAACTATTTGATACTACAGAAGAATATTAATAGAGAACGATACTCAATTACTCACACAATTACCCGAGTTTTAGTTGCTCCATAAAGAAAACGACTATTTTTATCTAATATCATATCACGAAGAATAGATTCACCAAAATGAACAAATAATTCTTCAAATTGAAAAGCTTTCTTTGTTGTTGGTTGAACACTAATCTAAAAAGAAAATATTAAAAACAAAAGTTTTTTTTTTTTGCAGATATTTTCTTCTCTTTTAAGTTTATCTCATGAGCACATTCATAAAGAATTACAAGACTACAAAAATCTTAAGCATAATTAAAAAATAGTTATAATATGCTTCCTTTCATAAATCGAGATTTAAAGCATAAAAAAATACCTTTTTAATTTTACCATCTGCTGTACCAGCTAAAATAACAATATAATCATTAACTAGAGTTGCTTCTAATGATGTTAATTGATCAGATGAAAAACTAATTATCGGTTGTGAAATAATATTCGATGATCCTTCATAAATCATTAAATAGCTTGCATCACGTATTGTTGAACATCGAGCTAAATTTCCATATGGTGCTGGATATTGTGGCTAAATAAGAATAGTAATAGTATGTTGTTTTTTTTTTATGTTATTGATTTTATTAAATAAATTTAATCTTACAATAACTGATTCACCATGTAACCAAGCCATACCAAGTGAAACATTTCCTTTTGATAAATCAAGTATATTATCAATAAATGCATTTCTTATTTGATCAAGTTCATATAAACATATTGCTGAATGACTATTTTGTGATGGTTCAAGACTATTTAATGTTTTAGATTTTGATGCTATTGTTAATATATATTGTTTATTATTTTTCAATTTAATTAATTTAACTTTTTGTATAAGTGTATATTCATTTCCACAATTTATTTGTAATTCAACATAATGTCGAAATGATATTTGTCCTTCACATAAACGTATAATTTTACTAACATATTGTTGATTAGTAAATAAATATATAGATGAATTATTTTCATCATATATAATATCTTGAAATAGTCGAAATTTATCTGATGATTCATGTTCAAAAAAATCTGTATATATTGAACGTACAACAGATAATTGTTCTGAACAATAATCATTAATATTTAAAAATGGACTTTGTTCATGAATAAAATTAAATAAAGATGATGTCTTAGTTTTATTCGTTATATGATCATCAGAAACCATAGGATTAGTAGATGATATTCGAGAAATTTCTATAATTGATGTTAAATTCGATTTATTGTTATTTAAAGATGACCTTGTTTTATTTGTAGAATTCTCAATATGAACATTTTGTTGTTTCATAATCGAATCTTTAACAACAGTAATGTTACGTTGTTTAATCGTTGTAATCATAGATTTGTTTACATAGTTCTGTAATTTTTTTTTGCCATCATCATAGACAAAAGCTCGTAAGGCAATTGTACGTCGTTGTGCTTGTTCAAGACATTGAACATAAAAACGATCGGTTAGATCATCAGATTTTTCTTTTTGATTGGATACGATAAAATTTTTTCTCAATGTTGATGTTAAAAATAAATAAGTTGGTGTATTATTACATTTATTAAATTTAAAATGAAATGGAAATATATGATTTGGTATTGTTGAATCAGTATTAAATAAAAATTTTTGTGTATGAATTTTTTCATTAGTTGATATTTGTTGATAATAAATTTTTGATAAATTTAATGCATTACGAATAATACATGAACCTGTTTGTAATGACCAACAATCAATTAAATATGGTTTATTTTCGATTTTATTTTTTGTTTCAAGATAAAGTATTAAATTATAATTATTTTGATCAATAGAATTTTGTAAATTTAATGATTGACTTAATTTTGAACGACGATATCTTTCTGTTGTTATATCATCACTTTCATTATTATTATTATTATTTGTTAAATTAGTTAAACATTGACAAGGATTTATTTTACATATATCATAATCATTTAAATAAGAATTTTGTATAGATATATTTTGTAAAAGTGTTAAATTATCATCATAAATTGATATCGAATCAATTGTAGCAACATAAAGCCATTTTAAAGAAGAATAATAAGTTAAATGATTAATATTATTTGATAGAGAAAGATGACGAATGTGAGACGTTTGATTGATATTTATTTGATAGAATAGAATCCATAAGAATGTCACATATTGTCGATGAAAAATCAACATTATCTAATGAACACATTCAGATACAAATCTGAAAGAGAAGAAAAAAAAAAAGAAATCTATTAACTGATAAGTAATCATGAATGAATATCATTCAAGACTACTGTTTTTTGTTGCTGTGTCATTGTGAACAAATGATGATTGTGCAAGTATGCTCGTACATATGCAAATTGTTCATCGGTCAGCTCAAGGAATGATTGAATAAACATACTGAAACTTCGTTCTTCTCTTTTTTTTTTGTACTCCACCCACTTGTCAAAGTATACTACCGTCACAAAACGTATTTTTTTTCATTCACAGACATACAAGCACGTACAAAGCGATTCGAAATTTCCATGTGATGATGCAATCGTTCAAAAGAAAAAGAGAAGGATCTAACAAAAAAAAAATACTCTCATTAGGAAGTGCTGCTTGTGTTTGTCGTCACTACTGTTGTTCTCTCTCTCTCTATTTCTACAACATAATCGATTACCTGTCTTGAAAGCTCAACGTACATATATATATATAGATATATGCACACAAGTCATAGATAAAACGAGACGGCAAAGAGAAAGAAAAAATTACTCACTATCTCCTTCTTTGCTTACACAATAAATGAGAGAAGAACTAGAGCAGAGACAGACCGTTTCCGATATCTGTATATAGAATAAGACAAGAGAGATGAAGAAAATGATTAAACCATACATTTTCTGTAATATCGGACAGTGATCAGTTAGGTTAATTTGCCCTTTCCTTCTCATAATTCAGTAGAACGTCAGTCATCCAATGTCGGCTCGGTCATCATACATGCATACATATATTACAGGCGATATTTCGATTAGTTGGGACAAGTTTAGTTTTGACAGACACACAGCAGTCAGCCGTTGCGCTTGTAGTAGAAGTAAGAACGTAGAAGGAGAGAAATGAGTGAATAAGTGAAAGAAAGAACAAACATATCAACGCGAACGTGTTTGTGTTTGTATGTATATATATATATATTGCACGAGTCGGTGCTTCTATACTAATTGGAATGTCAAAAAATGGAACAAGATGATGGTTGATTTCTCTTTTTCCCTATCCCAAGAGATCAAGAAATGTAAATATAGATAGAGAGAGCTGTTCAATCTAACATACCAATATATATATTATATAAATATCAAGACAAAATAAGGCATTTAGTTCTTGTCGATGTAATATAATCATTATTAGTTTTCTCTCTCTGTCTCTCTTTTGCTCCCTCTAGAGAGAAACTAGATGATGGTTTAAATAAAAAATTATGAATATATATATCTGACTGCCTATCCAACCGTTGTTTTCTTATCGGATCAAAAGAGTCCAAATGTTGAACTACTATTTTCATTCTTTACTTTTGTTGTTATTTTTAGTTCTATTATGTGCCATGATGTTGAACATTGGTCACTTTTTCACTAAGTCAAGAGCATCAAGACAAGCAAAAAAAAACCATACAGACATACGGCTAGTTCATTTATTCGACAGCCGTTAAAGAGAGATTGAGTTTGTATGCATGCCATTGTTGAGCTTCATTCTGTCCGAATGCTTGAGCGTCCGTCTACATCTGTATATATTATAAGAAGGACATCAAATATTATTGTTGTATTCGTTCAAGCTGATAAGTAGTTCTCCTTTCTTTTTCTCATATTAATCGACTAAAAAGAAGAATAAGTAAATATTTCGAAGAATCAAATCAGAAGCTTCGTTTTGTTTTCAATCGATAATCAACAACAAGAATTTTGGAATTTAATACTCAACAAAACTATATTGGATATTTAACGATGTAAACAAAACAAAGTTTTTCTCTTTTTTTTCGCTTTAAATTTGATCTTTTTTTTTTCTCTCTCTTTTGTCTCTTTTTACTTTTCTTTTTCTTTATTCTATACTCTTAACTAATAGACAGACACAATGTCAGCAAGTTCCGATTATCAGGCTGATAAAAGCAAGATACAGATAGGAATAGAGAATGAAACTACTCATTGATAATTTCTTCTTCTAAGCAACAAAAAAAAAAAAGATGTGAATAGAAACTTTAAAGTAATACCATTAACTTGTCTTATCTCAAGTTCTTGTGAAGAAAAAAAAATGAGATGCCAAAGCTAAAGCTCAAATTGTGTTAATAAACATAGACAAAATAAATAACAAATAATTTGTAATATTTGAGCAAGCAACACTCTTAAGTGATTGGAAAATCAATGACACATCACCATTCTAACTAATGAACCTTAACTGTGAATATTTTCGAGAGAAAATGAAACAAATATTAAAAAAAAAATGTATACAAAATGCGATTTAAGAATGTTGTTGATCCATGTCACTAAGTTTATCTTTACAAATATAAACAATAATCATAATAAGACGAAAAAGGAAAATATCTTCAGGCATTATCTATTTTCTCCGATGAAATAGATTGAATCATCATCAGTCAACAAATCACCTCTTGTCATCATTCATCATCATAGATTATAGAAGAAAAAGTGTGAATAGAATTTTGTTTTTCTTTTTTCTTCGATTATATCTAAGCGGAATAATCTTGACTAATGAACATCATTTGACAACAAATCACCTTACAATGTATAGTTTGTCATCAGAGGAAGAGAACGAGAGAAATTTTGGAATGTTCAACACGAAAAAAAAACAAAAAATTAGATACACATATATACGATGTTTGTCACAATCTCACAGCTTGTCATTGATTATGTAATCTCAGCACTTCGTCATTTTCATAAATTTATTCAGATAAATAGAACGAATATTTCATAAAAATTTCATTCAAAAAATAAAATTCTATTTTTGATTCTATGTCGTATTTAAAATATATTTATTTATTATTAAGTTTAATATCGTTGTCTTCATGTCAAAATCGACGAAGACAAAATTATCAAATTGAATGGAATTCTTCAAATTCATTTTTTCAATCTAATACAACATTTATACTTAATGTACGTCTTGGTGATACAATTGATTTTCTTTGTCCATATTATAATCAATCTTTATCTGTTGAATATAATACATTATATTTAGTATCAAAAATTGATTATCATTTATGTCTTACAGAAAACTATCAACCACTTATACAATGTGATCAACCATATAATTCAAAACGTTTAATATATACATTATCAATATCAAAATATTTACCATATCCAAATATGCCAGAATTTCTTGATAATCATTCTTATTATTTTATTTCAACATCAAATGGACAAAAAACAGGAATTAATCAAAAATTTGACGGTTTATGTCGTACAAAAAATTTTCGACTTATTCTTGATGTACAAAAATATTATCGACGTTATTCAATAAATCATAGTAATAATAATAATAATCAATATCGTATGAAAATACAAAAACAATTATCTAATGAAACTAATGAACAATATGAACAATGGATTTCTTCCTGTAGTAGTAGTAGTAGGAATAGAAGATTATCTTCCTCATTTGCTTTTTTATTGTTGTATAGTCTATTGTATCTGTATTTGTCTTTGCTATGAATGAATGTTGTATTCCGTTGATAGAATTAATTATTTAAATATGTCTTTCTCGTCTATATTTTTCACGTTTCCATGCTTCCAAAATAAATTCATTCATTAAAATTGATTGAATATCATTTAATTCAATTTGAAGACCTGTAAGCTCCTTAAAGTACAATAATAATTAAAAAAAACAAGTTATTATCAGTGACGGTCACCGGTCAATAGAGGATTCCTTAGCGGTTGGTATAGATTTATTTAAAAAAATTGATCATACTAGACATGCTGTCTATTTGTAAATCAAACCCGTTTTTATTTATTTTATATCTACTCGTTTTGATATCTTTTTCATCATTGTTAGACACATCACAATGTTCATACGGTAATGTGACATATCTAATCATTATAATTTATCATATATTTATATTCATTTCGTATTATTTATGCCATATCTTTCTCCGAGACGTAAGACATAACAGAGTAAATCTCTTGAGAGTAGTAGAATAGATATATGGTTAATTCATAATTTTTATGTTTGATGAACATTTATTCAGTGTATAAAGCTAATATAGAATTTGTAGTCCTATGAGATGATCTGTCCATTGATGGATATCAAAAGAGAGAAAACTTATGAAAATATATAATGAAGAAAAAGCTGTTAGCCCAATTCCTATGAAATTAAAATGTTAAACACGATAGAGTTACTTTAATTATTGTGGCCAAGCTCATCATCTATATCACAAACCATGACAAGACTAAAACCAGCATACTGAAAAATCCACTAGATCTTTGCAGACATATTGACATGCCTGTTACAAATCTGTCAGTAGATTAAAAGAAGATCGACATGCTTGCTGTACTCTTTGTGACAAGCTGATGTAGAATGGATTCATATTTTCGCTACACACTTCAACACTCATTAACAATCATGTTTCACAAAAATACAATAATAGCGAAAGACAAACTTTACGTAATTTCTCTAATGATTCAGAGATAGATATAACTAATGAAGGCTCTGTTTAATAATAAGCTACTCACTTTAAAATCTTTTAATCGTTTAGCATGTTCTTCAGTTAATTCATTCTTATTTTCAGTAAATAGTTCATAATAAATAATAGTACTTAAAACAATGAATACAAGAATTAAAAAAGAAATTAATACTCCTGAAAAATTAGATAGGAAATTTGAAGTTTATTATTTTTTTCAAATTTCTTATGAGTACCCATAAACATCCAAAATTGTAATGTAGAAAGATCTTGATCATCAAAATATTCGATGGATGTTGATCGGGTTAACTGATTTATACGAGATGAACCATAAGATGAATTGAACATACGAAATGATGAAGATTTAAGATATACTGAAACATAATTTTGCGCTGTTACCAAGTTTATTAGTTCTTGTTTTTCTTTTTGATCATTTCATGAAAAACGTATTCAATTTAAATCAAATTTCATTGATGAAGTTCAATTTATTATTTGATTTTTGACAAAATTTTTTTGTATGAATTCATCCTATGGCAAAAAATAGTCTAATAAT